TGTCTCGTCCAAACGATCACGGTTTCATTAAAGCAGCATAGTTCAGTCGGCGCCTTAGCGCCACCCACCAACACCGCCCACCACCGTCGGTCTATCGCGCCGCTCGCAGCCGCCCCATAGTGCCGCTGGGCAAGGAGGTCGCGACCCAGTTTCAGTCGTCGGTAATAAATTCTAATTTAAGTTGTATGGTTTGTTGTTTGAGAATATGATAATCTCAAAGGAATAATTGCAAATTCAATAATTTTAGATGCTCCCCAAAAATGATTTTGCTTATTCATCTACATAAATAATGTTGTATGATGAAACTTTACAAAAATAAGTCCATGGGTTTCTCAAATCCTCTCTAGAGTAGAGCATGCAAAATTTAACTTTCATCATCAGTCGTTTGCGTTGCATTTTTTATTCTATATAAAATATATTAATACAAAATAAAATTTAAATACAACTATAAAACAAAACTAAAATTATTTCACAAAATAGCTAGTTTTGTTGATGTATATTTTTTCAAAATAATATTTAGAAATAAAATCAATTAAAAAATTAAAGTTTGAAGGAAAAAAAAATTGTAGGGCAGTTGATGTAGGGAAAATAAACGAATGAGAAAGATAACACCCACATTAGCAATAAATAGTACCGTGCTACATGTAGTGGAATACTGTTCACATTTTCAGTGTAGTGCGAAAATATAGCATAGAACAAATTTTTTTGCATTACTCGAAAGTAAAGTTGTAATCTAGAGCAAAACTGACGTTGCTATAATGTTGATAGGTATAAGAAGTCCTCGATGCCTAAACTCAAACCATACAAGTTTCAACCATTAAGTCGAATGTCAAGAATAGTAGTTTGAGACCTTACATTCTACTTACTGGTTGACAAATATACCCCTGATCTCCTGTAAATCCTACTTCAGCATCAGTCCAATACAGAAAAAGCCAATAAAATAAAATAAAATAAAATAAAATAATAATAATAATAAATTGCAGTCCTATCTTAACTAATTAGTTCAAACAACGTCAATTTTATTTCAATTTGTGTTGGCAATATTTCGAACCTAAACAAATGCCATGGATCCATGATATAAGCAGTCATAGCTTGGTGAGAACAAGGAGGGCCGTGAGGAAATTAATATCTTCTTTGGCCAATTCTTGATCGACCAATCTTGCGTAAATGTCGACCAGCTTGTCGACTATGGCCTCCCCAAAGTGATGCACGATCAACGATTCTTGAACGGACCTAACGGCCCTGGCCACGGCCACGCCGTAGCTCGGGTAGTCCCCAGCATCCTTATCCATCTCGAACAAGTCGGCACGGTCCACTCTAAAGGACCCCTCCTTTCTCACCTCATCCTCTATCTCTTCTTTTGATGGCGCGTAAAAGTGTACGTCATAACTGTCTACTTTCTCCTGCTCAACCAAACCCTGTCCATTGATTGGATGGTCAATAGCAAAAGGAAGAAAAAAGAACAAATAGGGGACCCACACAATTAAGAAAAGACGAAAAATATTCAACGACTATTATTAATCGTTGAATATTCATGGTTATTAGTCATTACTAGCTTTTAATATACATACACAAAGTTACATTCTAACTAAATGTGAATTAGTGTAGAGTAATATTAATATAGAGTCTCAAGATATAACAATAAATAATATAAATCTCTCTATAATACCTGGTTAACGAGAGTGGCCAAAGATTGGTAGAGAAGTTCCCAAAAGAAAGAGTTGCCCCTGTCCACGTGTCCCGGCCCACTCCTCGCCAGAAATATGAGCACCATCCGGCCGCCGGCCACCACCTCCTCCGACCGGGATTTTAGAAACAAAGAAAAATCCTTTCGAAACTGCTTAAGATATGCTTCCCCGACCCGACCCGGACTCCTCTCGGTTATGTATATGCTGTTTTTGTTTATTGATACACCCTCATCATCATAGATACCAGGAGGAACCTGACATATTTGTTAATAATAACAGAATATTAATTTGACTTACTTTGAATGAAGCAAACAAAGAAAATAAAAGTACTCATAGAAACTTAAGGGAAATACTACCGTCTCGTTACGGAATCATTCTGTCAGAGTTTGTAATCGTTAGATCAACTATTTTCGACGATTACATGATGATCTAACGGTTATAAATCTCGACGGAATAGTTCCGTTACGGGACTGTAGCATCTCTCGAAACTTAAAATATAAATTAATGTACCCTTGACAGCCAGTGAAGGCTGTTTGCTGAATAAACAAAGTGCAAGCAGTGGTCTGGAAACAGCCTGCCGTAAAACGTTCCGGGGTAACCGGCTATGTAGATATTGGGCCGGGCCTCGGTACTGTTACTGATCCCATTCTTGATCTCCCGATACAAATCGGGCAGAGCACGAAATACCGTGTTGAAATCGTTGGTCGGGAGATCGTTCAGGTAAACTCGGAACTCGTCGGGCAGCTCCGTATGCCCGACGCGGCCGCATGCATTCTGGACGGCATCCACCAGCTGTTTGACAATCGACAGCGTGTTTGGGCCCGAAGAACAGCCTAAGTCCGCGATGCCCAAGCTTTTGGGCTTCATTCCTAGATACATTTGCTCCATGTTCTCTACTGTTATGTGCTTCACTCTCTCAGCTGTCTTTTTCTGTCCCAACACACAAAATGAGAAATATGTGATCTGATTCTTTGTGCTCGTATTAATTTCAATTGTAAAGCAAAGAATAAATAATATATATTTTACGTACCTGAAGAGAAGAATTTTTGGCATAGCTTGCATCTCCAAGACCTCCTTTCATGTGGAAAACTTTCTCGACATCCATGGCGGTCAATATTGGAAGTGTGATGAGAATAAAGTGGGAGTGTGTAATAGTGTCCTATTTAAAGACGGGAAAT